TCACGAAACCCACTCTTTACAGTTAAAGGAAAAATAACCCGAGGCATTCTCTGTTGTTAAACAACTCAATTTGCCAACCATTTTCGCCCCTTCAGGAGCTATTTGATCCGCTAAAAGACATCCCATACATCCACCGAATGGGTAGATACATCCATATGGTACGAGCAGGTGATCTGCAGATTGTGATCGAGATAATGAACGATACATTGTGGTATCTGATCGAAAATTGGCCTATATTAGATGTTTTGAAAACTATTATGATTGTACCATGGCTGAATAAAGGTATTGTGTTACGGGGTTTCTAAGAGCACCAGTAGATTTTCGTGATTTTTATCGGATTTATTCGAAAGGTAACTAGTAGATCGGGGAATCGTGAAAATTCTAATAGTAGGTTAAAATCACAGAGCGTTTAACCAGTGCTGTAGCATACCAAAGGTCGGCTTGTGTAACTAGAATTATAATACATAGTATTTTTATTATTTTATTTTAATAATAAGCCAGAGAAAATATTAATTTCATTATTAGAATATTAATGAATATTAATAGTTTAATGTGAAAAATGGTAAGGTACACTTCAATATTTTCAAAAGTGGTTTTTATGTCATCCTTTTTGATCAATAAACAGACCATCACCAAGACTTACAAATTCTTTCAAAATAATAGTTATTTGTTCAGTGTGACTTGTATGTGGCTTTCATCTAGAATCATTAAAACATATTTTCTAGAATTGAGTTTTTCAATTTAGAAGAAAGCAATTCTATTAACTCATTTGGGATTTTACTGCCTAAATAATGTGACATCTTTTTTAAACATCACTGATTCTCCTTCCTCTTCAAAATATTCTCTTGATTGTAGTGATGACTCATTGAGTTGTATGGTGATATTATAGCATCGGTGATAATGTTTTTGTCAATAATTGACACATTTATAGTGTTTTCAATTGTTAGATTGTCTGTGTTTTGCAAAAACCTGTTTAAACTATTTTTTCTTTTTCATTTTCATTGTGGAGATCTTCGTTATTTTACCTTCCTGTAAAGTATTCGAGTAAGATATGCATTTATGTCAATTTTTTCTACTTCAATACATAACCACTCAAATAAAATCCTTAAAAAACGTAAAATAATGTATTTGACGTTTCAGATTATTAGCAATATAGAAAAAATATAGTTTCACAATTGACAAGTATAGATATCTAGAAAAATCAATACCCGTGTCCAAGAAAGAAATTGCATTTTAAAAATACTGTTTATTAAAGTACTAAAAGTTTAATGAAAAATTCTAAAAATTAATTAAAGTCCAAATCTTTGTTATCGCGTCACGCACATACATGCATACACACGCACAGATGTCCAGACCATTTTTTTGAGTTTTCGGATTCAAGTGAGAAGAAAAGTATTAAAAAATGGGGGTAAGAAAATATTCTTGTCGAAACGAATACAATGTTATAAAAATTATGAAGAATATTTAATTAAAATGTTATGGGAGTGTTTCACAAAAAATGTTTCTAAAGTAGGCCTTGGAAAAAGCATAAGAGAAAAATTATTTTTTTTAATTGTTAATTCGGATTTAACTCAGTGTCGTGCGTAATTATCACTGACCTACTTTAAAAGCAATTTTTTGCAGATTACTCTTTATTTATTCTAAGCAAACACACCAAAAATTAATTGAAAAATACGAATAAGTTGTGTGCACCTTCTGACGGAAAAGTAGTCAACCAAATTAATTAATTTTCCATGTAAAACGAATTTTCAATTACTTATAAATGCGCCAATACACCCACGTGTGTAGAAAACTCATTAAACCTTCATCAACAAATTGTATCCGATATAACAAAACGTCAAAAATATTTAAAAGAAAGGTTCCTTCCATTTTTGATAAGTTATACAATTGAAAGGAAGTATCTTTCAATTGTATAGGAGCTTTAAAAACCGCATAATAAAAAGCGGTAGGGTTAAATAGAATGAATTTTCGGTATTTTGTGAAGAATTGCGGAAAAAATGATTCAGAAAATTCAACGCGTTGGCGTTTTGCCACAACAGAACAAAAAAGCGATTGTTGTAAAACGAACGATTTGCCAATCTTTTATACAGATCCTCGAACGCCCACAATCCGGAAAAGCATTTTTTTCGTTTCGTCTAAGATAGTACGTCACTCAAAATGATAAATTCATTCCAACAACGTTCTAGTTTCATAGAAATTTGTCAAAATCTTATAGGATTTCTATTTGGGGGCCGCAGTTGTTTCTATGCCGTGATTTATTACCAGAAAGAATTTCAACCAAATGCGGATTTAAAAGCTTCCTGTTTTATTACAAAAAGGGACAAATGCTATAAATACATATTAAGGTATATCTGCATAAGAGAAAGGAATTGTAAAATAATATCAGTAGTGACCTAATTGTCGATATAAGTTCAAATAGTATAATTTGGGTCAATTTTCAGAAATAACGTTATTTGGATTTATAAAAAAATAATATTTCTATATTTTGAACATATATAGATACGCAGAAATTCAAAACTCTGCATACTAAATTGTTCCAAGTGCATTAATAATTAGTTCTTTAGTCAATTTTTCTATGCACAAAGTGTGGTTTTAACATAAATAATTTTGTGAAAACCTGAGATAAAAACAGGAATGGAGTTTTGAAGTAACATCCTTTACTTTATCAAAAATACTTATTTGACTGAAAACAGAAATGTAATATCATTATCATCATTGTTTAAATTGGCCATTTCTGGTCAATAATTTTAAAAAGTGACTGAAAACGGATATTTTATATAAAATGTCGGGGCGTTTTATAAAATTTAGTCTTTTTTGCAAAATACACCTGCGACATAAACAAGGAAATAATGAAATATTCAATAAGTAATTATTATAGGCGAATAAGGATATTATTATAGATTTTGACGGTATGAAATATTCAAAAGCAAATTTCGTATAGTAATGATTTTCTAATGTCAGTAACTAACTATGAAACAACAAAATACAAGGTACAAATTTCTTCATTTCAAAGAGTCATTAAACGTTCGTAAATCGGCATGGAGCTATTACCAGATCATTATTACCATTACTTCCATATTTATGTAAATATCACCTCCAAATTTTATTGAACAGAATCGTATACAAGTGTTTTTATTCTAAATCTCAAATACATTTTTATTCATATCAAAACTAAAACTATTTCATTGCATTTTCCCTAGCCTGTCTCGTTTGCTTCTAACCTCAATCTTTTAAACTTTTTTAACAGTGGTAATTCTGTAATTTAATACGTTTAATTTTATCGGGAGTGTTAAGTTTTACTTTTTTTTCAGTTTTTTTCGTGTATTTTATTAATCAGGAGCGACTCGTTCATAGGGGACAATACGCACGTGCACCTCCAGAAAAATATTGTAAATAAGTTTTCAACCAATAAACTTCATTGCTTTTTCTGTTTTTATTTGTTTTTTACAGAATATGAAGGATTAGATCCTGATTCAAATATAACTACTGCAAGCAGAAGGACTTTAATGTCTTCCAATTCAACCATCAGTTTTCAAAAACAAACGACAAGCTCAGCTTCGTCAAATTTGTCTGTGATAAAACATCTTTTGTAACATAGCTTGTTACTCTTTCTTACGCGTGTCCATGATCTTCTAATAATCCATGCAAGAACACCTGTTGAGAATTATCACACTCGACCACCTCCGAGCAACAGCACCCTGTATACATCTCATCATGGCTTGAGATATCACTTGATAACCGCCACCCTACGAATTTCATAAAGATCCGCCCCCTCGAACAGAAACCTGAACTGCACCCTTATCTGGCAGCTGCTCACCGGTGCACATCCGCATATTGCCTCGTGGATTTCATCCCCCTAAACACCTACAACGGCCCCCTGCACGCCCCACTGTCCCTTCGCGGCAGGCACGGGGCCGCGCCACGACTGGTGGCATGTACATAAACCGAAACTTATCAACACATCTTTAAGATTTTTTTTGTTGTATTGTGTACTTAATTCGTGTTTTTATAATTATTAGTCCAGGGAAAACAGTTAGGGATAAGCTTAGTATACAGGGGAATAATAATAATAATCGGATATACCAAGATTTTAAAGTTACTAAGTGTCATTTTATCGAAAAGATAGTGGGGTAAACTCTATGGTTCTTAAACTACTACGGTGACCTGCTTTGCGTGCGTAAACTTTACGGAAATACTCAAGGATAATACCACAAGAAGTGAGAATGTTTTGAGAACCTTTCATGGTATTTTAAGGATGATTTTGTTTCGTGAAATTTAGATACATAATTTTCAAGGAAATAAAAAATGTTCTCCAAAAAAATTCTCACCTCGCGTGGTGTTTAGACTGATTATTTAACAATATAAACCTTGAGGCACTCAACTCCAAATCCAAATATATTTAAGAATGTCAATAAAATTTTTAGAAAATGAGATTGTATGAATAAATTAAGCAAAATTATTAAAAAAAAATATCGAGAATAACCTCGAAAATATAATAAAAACAAAACACCCTGTGTAATAAATAAATTCTTTCGTTTCTATCACCAGTTCTTTCCTATTCTAAAACAGTTTTTTTATAAGTGCCTCTAAGGTCAGATATAGACATAAGGTGTAGCGTGTTAAGTGATGACCCTTTAGGGGTCTTATTAGATTTCGACAAAAAAATGACACGTGCTCCGATTTTTTTTATGAGTTGGTTTTTCAATCTGCACAGACGTCAATTTGGAAGCGGTTTTTAGATAGCTGGTGCTAATGAGCCACTCTAACCGTTGATAAACGCGGGTTTATTTTAAGAGCATTAGATAAAGTTTATTAATTAGGAAATTATAATTCATCAAATATGCTCATACAGTTTATCGTATGATATTGTTTTGTTAGAACATTTTTTAAAATTCAAATAATGAAGACACAGAATTTTGGCAAATTAAATTGTCCATTTTTGATATCATTCAACTCAAATTTCCCTTAAAAATTACTTACAATGAAGAAATAAATAATTTTGCCAACAACACCTTTATTAAAAAGCCAGACGTAGTTTAAAGACTTATTTCAGAATTACTTAGAGCTCAGAATTGCTTAGAAGGTGGATCTACGGGGCTATAGTTTGAATAAAAGACCATCGTACAAGATTTAACATAAATACTTTTTAAATACTTTAATATCGAACAAAAAATCCAAAAAAACACGTTTTCATTTGGGAGCTCCCTTCAAGTTTTTATTTTTGTTACAGCAGCAATAGAAATATTATTTTTTCATGGATATTGCATCTTGTAGTTAAAAATAGAGGAAAGTGTAAAACTTCCAAACCAATTAAAAGACGTATTATTTACCACAATCTTTATTAGCAGACGAACATTCACAACCCTTCAATACTCTCGTCAAAAACTTGTTCCAATCACAATTAAATTGCGCGAAAGCAATATCTTTTTCATCGTCATCTAAACCGCTGTACTGGATAGAATTAAGAGCCAGTTGCTTCAAAAGTCTAATGTCAGCGTCTCTATGGCACATTCCCATAAAAGTGACATACCAATCGTAAGTAATCCCTTTCCCTCCCCAAAAAGAAGGATCGTCGTTAACTATAACAACCGGATAATTATTCGCAATCATTAAAGCAGCGGGATGGTCTCTCACATCGTCGATTAATTTCAATACTTGATTAGAAATCGGGGAAATTTCTATACCAATTCCGCGTTCTTTCACTAAATTGGCTGCTAAAGGATGCTTCAACAAAGCGAATGCATGGCCTATCCGCACTGAACCTAACAGTATTGCATCGAAGATATTGTAATCGGTAGGCTGACCGTTCCAGTGAGTCTCGCCAGCGTGAAAGAAGAATTTACAACCAGATTCTTTCAAGTCTAAAAATTGGCGTATGAAATTAATTAAAGGGGCACCTAGATCTTCTTGACCAACTAAATCGAATCCGAGAACAAATCTGGGAAATTTTTCTTTGATGCATTTATATATGCAAACGTATTCGTCCATTACTTCGGAACCTACTAATCTATGTGGAGCGAAGATAAACTTGCAACCAACAAAATCCACATGTTCGCATAGAAATTGTGTTAATGTCTCCCAATATAAACATACCACGTCAGCATTTCTATAGGTTTTACCATCGATGTCATAAACATTGGGTAAGAAGCCTCTAAATTCTAAATATTTTACATTTTCTTCGTACGCCTCTTTTAAAACCTGATAGAAGTATTCTTGAAATACGGGTTTGTAAGTTATAAGCTTTTCTAGATTTATAAACAATTTTTGAAAGGACTTCCACACAGTGTCTACGTCGGGATAAGCAACGTCCGGATTTTCACAAATTAAAGTTAACTTGGACTTCAGAAAATCTTCAAATTCTGGATCGTTTTCTCTTAATTCGCTTACAAGGATCCACTCTTGGTCCTTGGGAACTTTCTTCTTCTTAAAAAACTGTAAAAACAGTTCTTCATCTTTAACGAGTGCGTATAAGTTTTCTTTGAAAGTAAGAGAATAAAGATAATCCGCGGAAACCATACCAAGATCGTGACTATGCAACGAAGCCCCTTTCGGCATGGCTCTGAGAAATTGAAAAACTTTCGATTTCTCGATTTTTGCTCTGGAAGTAAAAAAATGATTAGCGGGTAGAAAACGGTCGGGTCTGCCAAATCCTTTATCCATTTCTTCATTTTTGTATTTCATGAGGTAATCGTTTACCACGCTTTCTCTTTCGGTCAGTTTGATTTGACTTCCGATGCCGAAATTTTTGCTGAGGTGAACAAGCCGATTCCTCTTTTTTATATACTCGCAAATGCATCTATCTTCTTCGTTGGCATTTTCGTCAGACATGGTAATACTATTTAAAATATCTTAGTTTACATTAAAATTTTTTAGGAATTGTTTTTTATTATTATATTGTATTTGTAGATTGACTAGAATTTAGAATTGAATTATTTTATAAATCACAAAAATTTAGAGTTTACGAATGAAAGAATTAATAAAGTCATTTTGACTTTAGTGTCAAATTTGACAAAATAAATTGCAAAAGCAATCAAACAAACCGATTCTCCAATTCTCCTGTTCAATTATGTTTTCTATCCGAAAAACAACGTTTTATGACACATTGTTTTAATTATCAGAAAACTATCAAATACCCAAAATAAATAAAAAATGTCTTCGAAGAATTTCATATCCACTAAATGAGCTTGAACGAGTATTATGACATCGTTAAAAAGCAGAGATAAAATTAGAAAGACATCTCCTTCCGTTCGAAACTACAAAATTTGTCACAACTGACAAAAAAACCCGCTATTTTACACACATCCAGTACCGTAAAATGATCCACCTACAACGAGTTGCTGGGGAAAAAAATGAGAAAGCATAGGGAAAGATTTAACCAAATATATTTAAAAAAAAAAAATGTTTTGACAAATATTAAACGTGTACCTTCCCCCAGCTGGCCTGTTAATGGAAAACACGAAAAAATGTTCATATCAAGGAGAAGGGTGATTTTTAATCTATTTTGGAATTTAGCATCTGTATTTAGGAGCGTAAGAAGAACCTATACATAAACTACTTCTTATATCTAACTTTTAAAGTAAATAGTAACATAAAGAAAAAGAAGAACTAAGTTATATCACAATTATCCAATCAATAACATTAATTTATTAAAATAAATGAACTTTTATTATATTAAATAATTAAATTAAAAATCTATTGAAAAAAAAAAAGGACGAAGGCGTTCTAAACTATTAAAAAACTTTGTCTGTAACAATAACTTCTTCAGTTTATTTCTTTTATTATATATTTCCCACTATAGCAATATATCACGTGTAATGGACTATGACTCTCCCCCAAGATAAGGATTTTAATACACATAAAAAATCAACATTCGCCGTAGTATTTTCGGCGTGTTGTCTATATTATGTATACGAAGCGCCCTTTACCTTTTTTTCCCTCATTTAAAATTCAGAATTACGCAACCCTTCTTAGTCATCCCCCTTGATTTGTTAGAACGACTGCTTATCTTCTGACGTTAAAAAAGCGAAATTACCTATGAAATATTCATCACCTGAGGTGTGTATACCCGTTTGCTGATACGGATCGTTGTTTTGGGGATGACCCGTCACCTACCTGTTGTCGAGATAAAATTTTAAATTAATTTTCAAAACGCTTTTATTATGACCTGGAGCGGCGAGACAATCGAGGTGTGTCACTATTGCTTTCTTAACAAAAGGGGTTGGAATCGGCAGTTCAACGAGATAATAATATTATGTTCAAAGTTAAAAAGCGGGAAGTAATAATAGTTGTGCAACAAGAGTGGATATGATGGCCATAACACACTTGAGTTGTACAGTATTTATTTTCTATGACCCATTAATTACAATCTACAAAGTTTGCGAAAACAGTAAATGTCTGATTCATGCAAAAAGTAAATAAAAACTTGTGTATAACAAATAGTACAAGACTATTTCTTCAACAATCATTTTTTCGACACGAAGTAATCCAATATTTCTTGTGAAGGATTGAAAATTATTTTTCCAAGAACCGGCACGAGGCCTCTGGCGACAAGTAGGCGCGGATTCTTAGACCCTACTATTTCATTGCTTTGCGTGCGCGTTTTCTCTATGATTTTTCTATTTCTTTTGTCTGACAAATTTTATCGCATATTTTAACAAATTTGTTGACCTTATTTTTATCACTCAGTTATATGAATAACTTTAATAGTAAAAGTATAATTTTCGTATAGAATAAATTAACAAAATTAAGAAAAATACCTACACTCTTTAACACAACACCCACTAAACCATAGTTTCAGATATGCGTTAATATTTTTGAAGTCTTTATCGATTTGAATGCAGCATGTGATACAGTTTGGAAAGAGGAACGTATTCATTTATTTTTTAAGTAAATTCTCTGCAGAAAATGTTGAACAACTAACATACAGGGTGAGTTACAACTATTGGGACATAGAGTAATCGCCTGTTGTTTAAACCAAAGATACCTTAAAATATACATGATATTAAAGTTGAAATATTTTTTTTTCGTTTTTTTTGGTAATAATTTCGCAACATATTCATAAATTGCTACTGAAATTGGCACAGAGGCGCCACATATGCGTTTGTTTGAATCTAAAATGTTGCATCTACATTACAATTTAGAAAAAATACAAATTTACCGATACGATTTTTTTTAGACATAAATTTTTAAAAGTTCGATTCATCTCTTGGAGTGGATCCCGTTCGGCCCGCAGGTAAGCTCTAAATTTGAACCCGCTATTAGAAAAATAAGAGGCGGAAGATGCGCGAACACGTGCACATGTGTTAACTTCACCTCCGAGGTCCGTATTGCATCTGTCTGTTACTCTGTTACCATCCCACTCTACACTACTCTCCAAATAAAAAGCATTCGCATGTGCCGCCATAAGCGTAACGATAAGGAAAAATTCGTGGTAATAAAAATAGTTAAAATACCTTGGGTGATGTTCTGAAAGTGGCGCCGGGAAACAGTAACAAAGCGTATACCGAACAAATGTTAATAAATAAAAAAAGAAAAATAAAACTAGGACATCGTTAGATTCTTTTTAAGTTTTTAATCAAACAAAGATGTCTGGTTTCGAATCCCAAAGATGACAGGCTTTTTTTCAAATCCCCAAGTATTTTTTTCACCTTTGGGGTTCGGGGATGATCTTAATAATTCGTAGGGATTTTTGTAAAAAATGCAGGTGTTTAATTTCAATTATTAAACACAAATTAAATGAGGCAACTGGCTGCAAATTTGACAGAAGTCATTTGAGGGATTGTATTTGTGAAAAGTAACATTGTTTTGGTACTAGTAACTCCATCTCTTGTCTAGGCTGATTAGTAAAAAATAATTAACGATATTAATATTTTATCACTTTAATTTATATGCCTCTATATTGATATGGAAACACTTAGTATTTGTATTTCCAAAAATATTCAAAAACTACCAAATCTCAAAACTGGGCGGGTTCAAAATCTAGAAAATTTATACATGTTGTATAAAAAAATAAGAATAATTAAAAATCAATTGAATTAAAAAAAATGTTCTGTTTCTCTGCCCTGGCTGCTCTGCTTCTGCTCCTGCTGTTGTATTCGTCCTGCTAATGCTGTTGCTGCTTGGTGTTCTTTGCCTGTCTTTGTCTGTCTCTGATTGTCTCTATTTCCAATTTACTTTTCTGTGCTTTAGGACTTTATTAATAAAATTTTCTTTACCTTTCTTTTTTTATGTTTTCTTTATTTCAACTTTTAAATATAACATTCAGCTTCTATCTTTAATACAATTGCATATTTTTATTAATTTTCAAAAAGATCGCAAATAGTTTTGATATGGGGGCAAAACTAAAATGCTGTGATGTATTATTGCTTTGTGCTTATTGTAATTTTACTTTTGTTGTATGGAATTTCTAATTTCTTCACTATTTCTATGATTCAATGCCTACTTTTTCTTTTGCTTAATTTTTAATATTATTTTCTACTTGTCTCTTCCATAAATATTTTAAAACTGATTTTCCACTATTATTTTTCGTTTTTATACTAACATGAAACTACTTTCCTGAGAACAAAATATATGTTACGCCACTGTGGGCCACCTCTCGCAATTATTAGGTATAAAGCCAGCCACTACGAAAATATGCACATGCTCTCCCGTGTGTAGACTAGGTATTTCCTTTTATGGCTGTATTCTTTTCCGACTACATCAGAATGGGCATCCGGTCAGGAGCAAAAAGTGTTATGTTGACGGTTTTGTCAAAAAAAAAGTATCATATAATACAGTAAACTTTGAGGTAGATTTATTTATAAAATGGTATATTGGTTTTTGTAGTGCTTTTTATATTAATTCACTTCCTCGTAGGTATACTCAATATTTAAGAGTAATACCATGGTCGTCTCATAGTAAAAGAGAAGAAAATTTATTTTACCTGTTGTTTAACATTTGAATTTATGAGGCCTTATGAAACAATTTTGACGGCATAGATATTCAGGTGATCTGAAAATATTTCCGTGGCAGACACTGGCGTAGCGTGGTCGTCAAAAGTGCTCTAAATGTAAGGGGACCTTCTACCCCCTCCCCCCCTAGTTAAAAAGTTGATATTGGAGTCTTTGTTTCGTAACTATTTCCAAACTAATAGATTTATAAACTTCAAATTTTCAGAAAATATTTATAAGAAGTGTAGTAACATTATTCTGCAAACAAAATTTTCCCTATACACTACGTCACTGGTGCAAAATCTAGATCATCCAGCTCTAGGTATAAAAGAACGTTTTTCTTACAATTCGAGTTGAAAATTATGGTAGAGATGGGAATGGGATGTCGTAGAGATGCAAATAGATAAAAATTATACAGAAGAAAAAACTATTTTAACAATGAGTGGTTTTTTTGGGTTGGTACAAAGACTATTTAGACCAGGGATTCCCAAAATGGTTTCTCAGGAGTAAAAATTGACTACACAATTGGAGAGCAGCCTATTTTACCAGCAATTGCGGAGGTTCTTTCAAATGCGTGATATTAAAAACTAATACAAAAGAACTTTTTCTCAATCTCAATAAAATATTACCATAGAAAAATATCATCTAATGTGTTTTAGACAAAAAAAAAATGTCGCCGCGTTATCTGCAAAAAAAGCTACAGAAAATTATCGATTGTTCATTCGATTCGTTGATTTTTTCGATCTCTCGTGACTCATATAACACACCATCAGGAGATTATGAAGAAGACGGCCAGACCAGACACAGGTATGGAGGTGTTAGTTCTTTCATTCTTTCTTTTCCTTTCTCGCCTTAAGTTACTCATAAGGTAGGGTCATGTATTGGATACGGATTACAAAGTATTCTGCATCTTGTGTATTATTTTCTTGCAACAATACAATTATTAATTAATTCTACTTTAACTCTAGATCATTTGAATTTTGGAACTTTTCGTAATTATTCAATTTTAAAAGAGACATTTTATTGAAATTCCAGATTTAATATGATCATACAAATGTTTGGAACATAGTTTTTAATTATTATAATCTACAAATTTACAACTTTTAGACTTTTCAATTAGTCTGAATGAAAAACGACATATTTTATACATAAACATAACAAAATAATCACACTTATATAAAATTTAGGAGCTATTATGAACAACAGAGCACACAGCAGAAGATACAACATAAAAATGTATGTCCTAGCTCGTTAGAGACGCGATAACTATGTCATGCAAACTTTTGGCTCAGACACACAAAAATCTTAAGAAACTACAACACAAATTGTAATTTCACAATAGAAGTTATAAGAGCAGAGATTCTTCATTTAAATTTAATAACACAATTATGGAATTTCACGAATATACTTGCTCTATATGTGTGAATAACTGTATATATCTGTATTTGTATATGTATTTTCAGAATGTTTGTAAAATTACAAGTGTAAAACGTATTTATAAATACTGTATATCTACAAAATATTTGTAAATTCACTTATATATTTTTAAATTGACAAAATTATTTTAAAAATCCTTTGATTATTTTCTATTAAATGCAGCAATCATGTAATTTAAAAAAATTATTATTCATTTTAAACACCACATTTTTTTTAGTGTAGGTATTGATAGTATTTTGCGTCAACTGTATTATAATCTTATTGGTTTGTAGTAAATTCTGATATAACAGTAAATGTTGATCAGTAATATATTCAATTAACATCGCTCAGAATCATGTGGTACAATTAGTTACAAATGGCGTCGATTATTTCTCAGTTTATTAACCAACTTCAAAAAACAGGAGATTCTTAATTCGTCGGAATATTTTTTTTTATGTATGTTCA